TTTAGTCTGCTGAGTTACCTGGCTGGCCCTTTGCTTCCAAATAAATTTTAGGAATGTTTTCTCTAGAGCTGTGCATGTGTTGGTGGTATTTTGATAGGTATTTTGCATTAAGTCTGTATAACAATTTTGGTGGTATGGCCATTTTCACAATATTGGTTCTTCCTATCCAGGAGCAAGGAATACCTTTCCATTTTCTGAAATCCTCTTTGATCTTTTCTTTCAGGGTACTGTAATTTTCGCTGTATAGATCTTTTACTTCCTTACTTAGATTAATTCCTAGGTATTTCATTTGTTGGATGTTATGGTGAAAGCCTTCTCTACTCTCTCTCAGTATGTTTGTTGTCTGTGTAGAGTAATGCTAGTGACTTTTGGATATTGACTTTGCAACCTGCTATGCTACTGAATTTGTTTATTAATTCTAGGAGCTTCTTGGTGGAGTTTTTGGGTCTTCCAAGTAGAGTATCATGTCATCTGCTAATAATGATAGTTCAACTTCTTCTCTACCTATTGTCATTCCTTTTATCTCTCTCTTGTCTAATGGCTCTAGATAATGATTCCAGAACTGTAATGTATAGGAGTGGTGATAAAGGACATCCTTGTCTTGTACCAGATTTGAGAGTAAAAGAGTTCAGGTTTTCCCCATTTAGAAATATGTTGGCTGTTGGATTGTCATAGATGGCTTTTTCTATTTTATTGTATTTGGTTGTTACAAGGTCTTACTACACAGCTCATACTTATAGTGATCCTCCTGTTTTCAGCCTCCCCAGCAGTGGGATTACAGGCATATGCCACTAAACCCAAACTGGCTGGCTCCGCCCACCCTGGGGGCAGGGCTGGCATGGCATGTGGTGCCGGGATCAAGCCATGGTCCCTGTGCTTGCCTAAGCTTGTGTAAGCAGGTACTTTAATCTGCTGAGCTATCTCACTGGCCCCTCATAGATGGCTTTCATCAGATTTAGGTAGAGGCCATGTACTCCAATTTTCTGTAGGGTTTTGATTATGAATGAGTGTTGTATATAGTCAAAAGTATTATCTGCATCAATTGAGATGATCACGTGGTTTTTGGTTTTGGCTCTATTCATATAGTATATGGTGTTTATAGATTTATGTATGTTGAACCATCCTTGCATCCCTGGGATGAACCCTACCTGGTCATGGTGTATAATCTTGATTTGCTGTATTGTATTTGATAGGATTTTATTGAGGGTTTTTGCATCTATGTTCATGAGGGAGATTGACCTGTAGTTCTCTCTTTCTGTTGTATCTTTCTCTGCTTTTAGTATCAGGGTAATACTTGCTCTAGGAATCATTTTCGGAGTATTGCTTCTTTTTCAATTTCACTGAAAACTTTTCAGAGTAATGGGATTAAATCTTCTCTAAATTTTTGTGAATTCAGCTGTTAATACATCTGCACTTGGGCTTTTTTTGTTGGTAAGGTTTTTTTTTAATTATATTTTCAATTTCATTGGCTGATATTGGGTTATTCAGAGTTTTTGTATCATCTTGACTCAAATTTGGTACTTTGTGCCTATCTAGGAATCTGTCTATTTTTTCTGTGTCTTTGATTCTGTGAGAATAAAGATTTTCAAAGTAGCTATTGTTGTTCTTCTCAATTTCCATAAGATATGTAGTAATTTCACCCTTTTCGTTCTTTATTGCTTGAATTTGAGCTTTTTCTTTCCTCTTTTTGGTGAGATTAGCTAGGGATTTATCAATTTTATTTAATCTTTCAAAGAAATAGCTTTTTTTTTGGTTTTGTTTCAGAACGAAAGTTTACTTTTCTCATAGTGTGCAGGGGTTTCAGTCCATAGATAAGAACCAGCTTTTTTATTCCTTAATTCTTTGCATTGTTTTCTTTGTCTCAATTGTGTTGCATTAATTTCTTTCTTTCTTTCTTTCTTTCTTCTTTCTTTCTTTCTTTCTTTCTTTCTTTTTTTTCAGAAATGGGGATTGAACTCAGGAACTTACACTTGCCAGTCAAGTGCTTATTCTACTGAGCCATCTCCATAGCCCAAAAGACTTT